GATCCAAACACTGCAACATAATTCTGAGAAAAATGAAGAGGAGAGATAATATTTCTTACAGTATTTTAAATTCCTTTCTGCTAAATCCAGAACAATTTAAAATGTTCCTTCTCATGGCTAAATAAAAAAACTATGTTACTTTAGATTTGTGCACTTTGCTCCCAATCTGCAGCTTTACTAATTTCTATTCAATTGGAGGTGGATCTGTAAGTTATCTTGCTCCTCTCCTGTAATAGCCCTACCAGTTTAAGTCTGTGAGGCAATCACCATCTTTACTTTTAAGAAGGCTTCAAACTTTCCTTTTTGATAAAACTTATAGTGTCACTGTAGCCTAGCAAACTAGCCCACCCGTCAGCGGCCAAAATCATTTTGGCTGCGAGTTTAGGGGGCTCCCACCCTCACAGCATCGTCATCATCGTCCTCTTCCTCCCCTGAGCCAGGAGAAGCAAGTGCTTGAGGAGCTGGAAGCAGTAGTAGTAGCTCAACAACAACTTCTGTTTACCTTATCAGGGCTGCACTTTAAAAAATCTAATTGTCTAGAGAGCTGTTCTAAATGGAATGTCTTTTTGTCTACACTTATGTATACAAAATAAATCTGTCTAAGATTCTAAGTCTAAGAGTTTGGTCTAGCCTCGATCAATGCCCCAGGCCCTAGAACTGGTGGGCTTATCACAAAGCAGAGATGTGTTTTGAATTTCTCGATGCTCAGCGGGCGGCGTTTTGAGGGTGTTACGACAAAGCTGCGTGACACTGGAGAAAGCACAACAAGGAAGATGGCAACAACTATTGAACAGTAGCATGCACTGCAGCAGCGTTCAATGGAGCACTCCATTGAAAGTTAAAAGTTCTCTTTTCTGTTTCTGTTGTTAAATGAAAGTACATTTTAAAATCCTTTGAGCCGAGAATATTATATGTCGAAGTGTCAATATATGGGCCATTTACCGATTTAATGCATAATTTAAAAAAACAATTTCCGAAGCTGAGAGGACTGCGGTAACCAGGGGAGCTCCAAAGCTAACGGCAGCCAGGGCTAACCGCAGCCTGTCTAAAGCAGCCCTCTCTCGGCATATTCGTGTGTATAGGACCACTGTCTATGATGGCGATGTTTGACTTAGCTTTGGAATCAGTTAGACCCCAAATCATTAGACTTGGGGTTACCGTTGAAATGTAAGCAGCAAGAGGCTCTATGCTCATTCATTTTTAAGAAGAACGTATTCACCGTTTTACCGACAGGCTGTTTGTTTACACTCCCCCACCAGCTTTTTGTCAAGCTTACTACGTCACAGTCAGTTGCGTTCATTGGTCAGAGCGTTGGCCANTAGGCACAGACATGGTTTGAAAAACAACGGGTTGTTCTCATCAACAATCTTGCGATGTCTCATTCATCGGGGCCAGACTAAATTACACATTTAATCTCACATTTATTTAGTCCGGTTTATCAGGCTAGTGTCGCTGTGGTTATCCAGAGCCATCTATAAAGTTATGCTGCTATAGGTTTTGTAATATTGTGGCACCGGGGCTGGCCTATTTGTCCACTCTGCACTCCTGCTCAGCTTCACCTGCAATCAGCTCTTAACTGGTTTCACCTGTTTCCACCAGCTTTTAAGCCCCATTCAGATCAGCTACCTGTGCCAGATCGTCTTGAACCTACCGGTGAGAACCTTCCAGCCTTCCTTTTGCAAACCTATCTGCCTGCCTGTTGCCCGATCTGATCTGCTTTCTGTTACCGAGCCTGCCTGTCCCTGTTCTGCCTCTGCCTGCCTGCCTTGGCACCCGGATTGGACCTGTCTCTGGATTTTGGACTCTGTTTATGGACCTGGATTGGAACTGGACCTCCCCTCCTGGATCTCCCTGTCTGTACTGCTGCTGGATCTGCCACACCGTTGCTGAGCCTGGACCCTTCTGGATCACGTTTCTGGAAAGCCTCACTGGAAAACATCTGTCAACCTGACAGCTGCCTACGGGCCCGTGCCCCAGCAAACCCTGTCTGCAACCGGACTTCAGTTCTTAACTTAGGTAATTGCCTCTAACCGGCCCTTCATGCTCTGGACATTCCGAGTCAGGGGCTCCCGTTATGCTGTTACTAATTATTTCTCAAATAAAGCCTGAAAAAGTCACTGACCTGTCTTGGTTGTATCTTGGGTCCGATTCCCGTACATTACAAGTTTAGGCTCCTGGAGGACATAGAGAATACATTTTATCATTCTGCTTCATTCTATCTCTCTTTTTTTTTTTTTTTTTTTGTTTAATGTCTAACTTTACATTATCTCTGAATTTTCACAGTAGTTTTGTTTGTCCTGGGCCTCTGTTTGGCTGTGATACCATCCTGGAGGGAGGCATCAGCTGGGCCGCTGCTGTCATGAATGTCTATTATAGATGATAGAGTTTAGATCTGTTTCTCTCCTAGAAATGGATATGTTTGGTCCAGTAGGCTTTGTTTGCAATTTCAGAGGTCAAATGTTTCCTGTAGTTTTTCATCAAGTTTGCACAAACTGCAGGATGGATTTTAGCCCACTCTTTCACACAGATCTTCTCTAGATAAGTCAGGTTTCTGGGCTGATGCTGAGAAACACGGAGTTTGAACTCCCACCAAAGATTCTCTATTGGGTTTAGGACTGGCTAGGCCACACCAGAACCTTGATATGCTTCTTCCAGAGCCACTCCTTGATTATCCTGGCTATGTGCTTCGGGTCATTGTCAAAGACCCGGAAGAACCAGCCTTGACCCTTCTTCAATGCTCTAACTGAGGGAAGGATGTTGGTACCTCAAAATCTCTCAATACTTGGCCCTGGTCATCCTTTCCTTAATACAGTACAGTCACACTGTCCCATGTGCAGAAAAACACCCCCAAAGCATGATGCTTCCATCCCTATGCTTCACAGTACAGTTGGTGTTCTTTGGATGGTACTCATCATTCTTCTTCCTCCATACACGGTTAGTGAAATTATGACCAAAAGTTCTATTTTGCTCTCATCTGACCACATGACTTTCTCCCATGACTCCTTTGGATCATCTAAACCACAGGTGTCAAACTGGTTCCAGAAAGGGCCGTGTGGCTGCAGGTTTTCTTTCCAACCAAGCAATAGCACACCAGACTCCATTCATCCCATCAAGTCATCATGTTCAGATTGGACTCCCTTAATGAGATGAATGAAGTCTGGTGTGCTATTGCTTGGTTGGAAAGAAAACCTGCAGCCACACGGCCCTTTCTGGAACCAGTTTGACACCCCTGATCTAAACGGTCATTGGCAAACTTTAGCTGGGCCTTGACGTGTGCTGGTTTAGGCAGGGGAACCTTCCGTGCCATGCATGATTTCTAACCATGACATCTTAGTGTATTACCAACAGTAACCTTG